TGATGGGATTTGAAAAAACTGTATGTGACGGATGGTCGAGCCGACAAGACATTTTGGTGGAATCGGACGCGGGCTACTGCTCGGACCAATCCGTGATTTGCAATGTGCCACGGAGCATTGTTGGCTTCGTATGATTTTGGATTGCCGCACACTTCCTTGGATCTCTCCTGGTCCGCTCACAGTGGGAAAAGCATTTTGACTATTGGCCATGTGTAGTGCCGCCTGGCCAGTTGCATCTGCGATGGAGGAGGCTCGGATCAGTGCCGCATCTTGACCATTCAAAAGAGGGCACTTCCTGTCCCAGTGTGAGGCAAAGGGCAATGGATACTCAGTTTCAAAGCGAGTGGAGGACCACAAGTTGTGACTTCTGTGGATACTTCAGCGTCGTCATCTTCTTCCATCCGAGCAACTGCTGCAAGAGAACAATAGGCCTTCCATTCCACGTCTTCGAATTCCGCAGCATACGACCCTTCGCCTCGAACCATGGTCGCCAAGGGAAGTATTCCTTGGGAAGCAATGTCGACAAACAACTCGATGAATGGTGCATTCGAGTAGGCATGAATGGTTCTCGATGTATTGCTCTTCTTGGTGCGGTCCCAATTGAAATCCATATGTCCCGGGTAGCTAGCACTAACATCAAATGGACGAAGGGACGTGACAATACACTATGTTATAGCTGGTTACAGTATATGGTTCTAGCTAAGCTACATAGCCGATTGTCGCAAATATTGTATAGTTGTATAGACAGATTTGGGCGTCTCGTCAATTGGTCCAATGAAGTCTATGGGGATGATTTGAGGTGCGTGGTCTATTCAGCATGATCATGAATACTCGCATTGCCCCACAATTCCTTGGGCATCGGCTCTTCGACACACTCAATACGTAAACTAGCGAAAATCACCAAGAACAAGCAGGTGTTGAAACTCTTGGAAGATGCCGACTCTGTCAAGATGCTGACACATTTTTCGAGACAGTCCTTCTGAAGGTCCGGATTGAAACATGAATAATAGGTAAAACTAATTATTAGTCGTTCTCTTTGTCATCATCATCATCAAAGATAGAGTAAGTGTGTGCATCCTTTGCCTTGTCACCGTCAGCCGGCTTTACCATGATCTCAACACACATTGCTTGAGATACAAGGACCAAATTATTGTTCCACTTGGTTGTTCCAAAAGAAAAATCATAAGCAAGCAACTTGTTGTCCCAAGAGCGGTGTTCCAAATGAATGGGTGAAGTAAACCAAATATCTTCCTCGTCGGCTTTTCTCAAGCGAGTGAGTTCGTCCCTCAGAGCTAATGCACGGGTCTTGATGTCATCCTTGTCGGCATAAGCGAAAAGTCTCTCCGCCTTGGAGAACATACTGGGGAGCTTGTATTTGAAGTACAAGATATTCCCCTGAATCCAAACTTTGCAGTGTTCGGGTTTGACACCGCTCGGACAGTGAAGGACCGCCATCAACTTTTCGTCACCATTCTTCTCTGTAAACTTCCTAGAAATGTACGCGTTCGAGTATGTCACACTCGTGGTGACGTCAGCACCAGCTGAGTTTACCGTTGCGTATCTTCGATCAAATCCAGCTCGAAACGGGAATGACCGAGGTATACCGAGATAATCCCGCTAAACCCGGTTTTACCCAAGCTCCCAGTGCCTTTCATGCTGAATAAGCTCTCCTAGCTACAAAGCACAGATCATGCACTCATTCGACCTCATTCAAGTCTTTTGTACAACATTTTACCCGTTCGGCTTAAACTTGCGACATTCGACTATATAGCATTTAGAGCCATATACTGTATGAATCAACTATTACAAGTGTACTGCAAGTATATCTATCCATCACTGCACCTATAGCGATAATCTAGTCGTAATGTTCTACTACTATTTGTTTTCTTTGATTTCTCCAAGAGTGAATCTAGCTACTACATTGCCTCGTCTCGCCTTGCCTTCCCAACAAAGACGGCACCAACTTTCTTATTTGCTCAATTTTTTTCAAATTTTAGTCCTGTACCGGTACCGGATAATACCTTCCCCTCATAAACAATACCGTATCGCTCCTCCTCCACCTGTAAACAACGAGTCCTTTGGACTATAGTCGTGCTGATTGGTATAATTTCCAAATCTCCATCCAAGGTCAATCCCGATGAAGCACCAATTGCTTCCATCTCAACTTCCTGTGGTCCGAAACTTGAATTTAGACTTGTGGCTGTTAATCCAAAAACGTCATGTGCGAGCCAATGGAAAATTGTATTTTCAGTCTAGTCATCTATGGTTATAAAGCTACAATTATGCATAACATTGCCATTGGCACAATAAGGCACGAAGCCTAAACGATCCACAAGGCAGCTAGGGCGAAAGATACGCCCAAACCTACCGAAAACGGAGCACACCGAGACGAAGAAGAAGGTTGCGCTTCCCCTTGCCGTGTAAAAGTGAACGCCTTTCGTGTAGTGCCGCTAAAAGCGTCTTGAAATAAAAGCTTATCGTCCTCGATTGGCCCATCAAATAACTCGATTGGACCTCCATTGCCTTGCTTGC